ATCCTACAGCAGGAAGTCAAACAGGAAATGATAAAAAACAACATGCAAGTGCAGAGAGAAGGAGGCTCAGGGAGCTATAGAAAGTAGTGCAGAGGCTGGGCATCTTAACTGCCCTGGTCAGGGTCCAGGAGGGCTTCCTGGAGGAGGTGACATCTGAAGACAGAATGGTAGGTGCTGAGAGGAAGAGAAAGGGAAGAGCGTGATGAGACAGGGAATGTGGAGAAGCAGGGGCTGGCAGGTCTTTGAAGACCCTGATTGAGTCTCATCCTGAAGCCAGCAGAAGCCCCCCGGTGGTTTTCAAAGAAGCAGATCTGTGTGTGTTTGATCAGGTGCATGAGCTGCTGGGGCGAGAGTGGATTGGTCAGCACAGGCAGGAGGCAGGAGGACCAGGCAGGGCCACCCAAGCAAAATGAAATGCAGCACTAGGGCAGTGACAGTGCAGATAGAGAGGAGGGGAAAGGATTTGAGGGGCAGTGAGATCTGCAGGGCTTGAAGACTGAGTACCTGAGAGCAGGTGGACTGTAGACATGTGTCCTGGGGTGGCATGAACAAGGCTCCAAGAGAGACTGGAGGAGCACCTCCCTCCTATGGGGGCCCACAGCCTGGGAATCTCCGTCTGGCCCCTGCTACAGTGCAGCACCCACCTGTGGTCTAAATATGTGCCCGTGCCTGTGGGTCTTTCCTAGGAGGCAAAAAGCGTTTTGCAGGTAAGGACCAAGCAAGCCCTCCTCATTCTGTTCAGTGGAACCAATATGGGGCCTGGGAAAATGAATACACTAGGCAGAGCTGAGCCCCAGGTCAAGAGGCCTGGTGCCTCTCCATGGGGTGCTGGGACTTGAGCCAACGGGGTATTAAGACAGAAGCTAAAGGTGCCTGTGGCAGCTTTATATGATTGGTTAAGCAGCTATCCAGCGTCTCTTATATGTCAGCTACTCCTTGTGATGAGGAAGGGCGGGAGGGAGGGATGGAAGGAGGGAGAGATGGAAGGAGGGGAGAGAGACGGGGGGGGGGGGAGAGCACGCATGATCATGGCCCATCAAAAAACACAGGACAAATATATATTTAATTTTGATAATTATAATACAGGGTGAATCAGGCCACCATGAAGGTAAGTGTCAGGAGAGCTACATAGAGGAGGTGTTACTGGGCTGGGCTTTGAAAGATCGATAGGAGTTTGCTACACAAAGAGGAGTAAAGGGCACTGGAGGCTGAGGAGAGAGCTGGTCTGCAGCACGGAGCATGGAAGTGTCTAGAGGAGACCAGAGCTACTGCGGCACTTAGATACTCTGCTTCGTAACCCCTTTCCTCAGCCTCCCTCTGGTTTCACCAGCAACTCGGTGGATGGTTCCAGAAAGCTCAGACTTGAGCGAACTGCATCCCACCTCAAGTAAGCTGTGGTGAGGGTCTTTTCACTTTCCAGGGCGTTCTTGAAGCTAAAGTAATGCCCAAGGGGCAATCCTCAAACAGTGAGGCAGAGAAGCCTGTGGATAAACACTTGCTGGCTGATTCCTGCAGCCAACTCCTGGACACATCCCAGAGGTTTCTGGGGAACCAGTCCCCTTTCCTCCAGCAGCGACCTTGAGGACACACAATACAAAACCAGTCTTTATATTGGCTCTTCCTCCTTCCCAATCTCACTACCCATTCCTGCCCACTCTTCCACTCCCGCTTCCTGGGACACCTTCCAATTAAACCACCTGCGTCCAGCTCCTTTCTCGGGCTCTGCTTTGGGGAGAGTCCAAGCTAAGGTGGGCCATGTTGCTGGGGACCCAGAGTAGGGGGTGTTGTGGTATAGACTGCGCCACAGAAAATGCACACATTTCTGAGTATCTTCTGCAGGCCAAACCCTTGAACTGGGGACGTAGAGTTCTTTGAGAGGGCCCTTCCTCATCCAGACCTCCATTCTGACTGTGGAGATATAGCAGGACGGGGAGCCAGCAACATTGGAAGGATCAGAAACATTTTCTTTCTGCCTTTGGAGCACGTCACGTGGGTTGTGGGCAGCAGATTGATGTTCCTAATTACATTTGACTCAAGCTGATATTAAGTATTTGTCTCATTCCCAGAGCCTACAGCGCTGGTGGATGGTGGGGAAGGTGCCAAGAGGCATGCTGGGTAGCTGAGGATGGCAATCTGAGAATTTAAACATCCATGAGAGATAAAAGTAGACAAGCCACAGCCATGGGGGAAGGGGAATTAGTGTCTTTGTGTTGCCCTTTAATGGCTTCCAAGGGCTAGAGGGTCCTGGAAAGGTCTTTTGGGGCATCCTCCTGTCTCAAGAGGCTGACCTACTCAAGACAGTCCAAACAGAGACTATGACTACGAGGCGGAGAGCAAATGCTTTTGTGGCTCTACTCCAAGTTTCTTCTGCTGCATGTCTAAGGTTTATTTTGATTGATTTGTTTTTGGTGGTAGTTAATATTTGCTGAGCCCTGGCCGGTTTAGTTCAGCGGTTAGAGCGTCAGCCTGTGGACCAGAGAGACCCAGGTTCGGTTCCCGCTAGGGACATGTACCTCGGTTGCAGTTTGTCCCTGGGCCTGGTTGGGGTCCTTTGGGTGGCAACCACTCCATGTGTCTCTCTCACATCGATGTTTCTCTCTCTCTCCCTCTCTCTCTCCCTTCCGCTCTATCTGAAGATAAATGCAAAAAAAAAAAAAAAAAATGTCCTCAAGGGAGGATAAAAAATAAAATAAAATAATGACCATTTAAAAAAAAAATTTGTTGAGCACCTAACTGGGTGCTCAGGGGTCCACAGTAAGAGAAGATATGCCCCTGTGCTCAGGATGCTTCCCAGCTCACGGTCTATACCAACAGGAAGCTCGTGAAAATAAGTCCAGACACTCACAGCCAAATGCAACAGGTGGGACCAGGGGTGCTGGAGTTGTCAGGAGTATGGCAAGGAGCTGGGATGGTGAGAGGTAGGCAGGGGTTGAATTAGTGCAGAAGGATGCGGAGGGCATTTCTGGCAGATGAACAATATAGTCAAAGCCATGAGGTCCAGCACGGGAGCACACCTAGGAAGGATCTGTACAAATGAGAGACCCGAGGCCTGCGGCAATATCTGCTACCCAAGAGATTTAGGCAAGTTACTCAAAGTTCTCATGTATGAAAACCAGGACTAATAGCCATTCATCTAGTTCCCAAGACAGTTGGGAAGCTCAAATAAGGCAGCGGGTCTGTGTGGCCCTGGAGTGTGCAGATCCAAAGCACAAAAGACTTATGTTTAAGTCATTGTGTGATCTTAGGCGGGTCCCCTCCCCTCTTTGTTTACTTATCAGCAAATTGAGGATGGTAATTCCTTCCCCATACCTTTGCATTTAGGATTACAAGAGGAAATGCAAATACAAATAGTGTGATGATCCATAAAGCACCCTACAGATGCTAATTATTATTCCTATAGTGTAAAGAGTGTGCTTTTGCTTGCCCTGGCCTGTTCAGTCTAGTGGTTAGAGTGTCAGCCCTCTGACCAAAGGGTCTTGGGTTTGATTCCAGTCAAAGGCAACCAATTGATATGTCTTTCTCAGGTCAATGTTTCTCTCTCTCTCTCTCTCTCTCTCTCTCTCTCTCTTTTTTCCTCCCTCCCTCCCTTCCACTCTGCCTAAAATTCATTGGAAAAACATCCGCGGGTGAGGATTAAAAAATAAAAGGCAGGCATAAGGTCTCCTCTCTGCTCCCCTGGCACCTTGCACACACAGGTGCTCATTCGCAGCTTCGACTACGACTTTGTGATAGACTTAATTGCAATATAAAATCTCGGTGTCCAGGCAGCCAGCACTTCCAGGCTTGCAGGGAGGTGATGCATCAAAGAGCCCTGCGTCCTCCATCTCGGCTAACCCCTCCCGCTCTCAGTCTAAGCGGTTCAGTACCAGGTACTTAGGACAGGGTCACCTTCAGGTGATTGTCCCTCAAGTCCCTGCAGCAGTCCCAGGATATGGAGTGATCAGCCCACCGCACGGGACGCACCAGCGCTGCATCAAGAGTAGTGTAGACACACCCGGGCAGGGCCCACTCTGACTCTAGAATGCATCTTTTAGCGCAAGGGGTACAGTGGAGAGCTTGCGCACCGTGGAGCACGCAGCCGGCGGGAGGAACGCCTGGGGGCAGTCCCGCCGCGTGCCCTTGTCTAAGTCACTTTCCACCCAAGTACTCAGTTTCTTCCTCGGTAAAATTCGCTGCGGTCCTTCTGGACCAGCTAATGGCTTAGAGAGTGAGATTCAAACGATTGCTTACACAACCCTAATCCGTGACCTTGCGCCTGGGGTTTGCGTGAGGAAGGGCCGCGGGCCGAGCTCGAAGGCTGGCGGCTGCCACGCCCCTCTCCGCCCAAGCGCCACTCAAGGCCCGCGGGCCGACTTTGCGAACCTCCAGGGGGCGAGCCCAGCGGTCTTTTCGGGCCACGCGGCGCCTTGGCCGTCTAGCCTGTGATTTCACCAGCGTCCCCGGGCCAGCCAGCGGGGCACTGAGAACCCGGTCACCGCCCACTCCCCCAGCCAGCAGGTGCCAGGGCCCCGCTTCGCCCAGCCGTCTGGCGCCCACGGGCCTGAAGGGGTTAAGGCCACTGGCCTGGGCGCTCGGCTCGGCCCGGCAGCAGGGGTGCCCAGCGGCCAGCGATCCGGCCCGGAGGCGCGGGGCACGGCAGCGGGCGGGCGCTTCCTCCTCCTCCTCCCTCCGCCTCCTCCTTTGTAGCGAGTTCCCGGCCCCTCTTCCTCCCCCCGCCCCCCAGCCCGGGCCCGCTCCCTCTCTCCCTTTCTTCCTGCCTCGCCTTCCTGCGGCGAAAGAGGCTCATCTATTATAAATGCACATTCGGGGCTGACATCAGCGAAGAGCGGCGGGCGAGTGCCGACGAGCGGTCCCTGTGCGCTGCCCGCCTGGAGCGCGGGCCCCTCGGCTCCGCTGAGACTCCCGCAAGGCGCGGGGAGCGCGCCCAGAGCCGCCGGGCCTCGAGCGCGCGGAGCCGCGCGGGACCCCTTCCCGCCGCCGCCCCAGCCCCCAGCGGACTGACTCCGGCCCTCGCCCCCGGCTCGCGGCGCCCGCGCCCCGGAGTTCCTGCATGACTGTCACAAAGGTAAGCGCCCGGGACCGCAGGCGCCGGCAGCCCTCCGCCTCGGCTACGGGGGCGCGGGGGTGGGGGGGAGGGAGGGGGCGCTGGTTCTGGGAAGGTGCAGCGCGCGCCTACTTAGCTCCCCTAGCCATTCGAGTCGCTCTGGCCCCCGAGGACTGCGGAGGGAAGGGGGAGGATGCCGCTTTGGCAGCCGAGGTGGTTTGGACAACATCCCTCCTCACCGGCCCAACCCCAGGACTGCATTTTTAACCCTTGTTTAGGATGCTGCATTTTTAACCCCTGGAGAGCAGTGTTGGCCGCTCCTTGGTGTCCCCCCTTGGAGCGCGCCACGGGGAGCGTCGCTGGCAGGGACTGGTGCTGGGCAGTGGTGTGGGAATGGGCTTCCCGCTCGGAGGAGGCCACTGGAGGGGAAAGCCCACCACACCTGCCGGCCTCTGCCGCCAATCCCAGGGACTCTGGCCCTGTGCCAAAGCTACTCACTGGAGAAGGCGCTCCCCGGTCCCTGCAGTTGCTACTGGGAATAGGAAAGGGTCTGAGGTGAACAGTTTGAAAATATGGGGAGGGAATGTGACAGGGGAGGGTAAGATGAGCATTCTGGCAGCCCCAGTATTGGAGGAGGGTTCTTGAACCTTGCCATAGGGGCCCAGGTTTATTGGAGAGACTTTGAGGTTCCTCTGTTGTGAGAAGGAAGGAGTTAAGAGCAGAGCAGACAGAGTAGTGGAAGGTGCCCAGGATTAGGAGACTAGAGGGACCTGAGCTCACTCTCCAGCTCTACTCCAAACCCTGGGTGATCTTGGCTGGGCCCTTCTGCTTTGGGCCTCAGTTTCCTTCTTGTGGAATGTGAAGATGATAATATGGATCCTGGGGGCCGTGCTGGGCAGTTGAAGAACAAATAAGATGAAGGATGTGAATCTATACTTTTGATAGAGCTCTGTCAGGGTAAGGAGCTCACAGTCTGGCCTTGGCCTTGGGTTTGGTGATCCATGCACCCAAGGCCAGACTCCACTAGCTATCCAGCTGGCTCTCAGAATTGGAGAGTAGGAGGCCAAACTGGGAAGGACAATTTGCTTGTGGTCAGAGCAATGAACCAGATGGAGGGTCATCCATGGAAGCAACGGAAGGGGTGGTTCTGGCTCCTTCTGATACATCAGAGGCTACCCGTGCCCCCGAGATCTGCTACAAGACAACATATTTGTTAAGGGTCTTTGGGCTCAATTCCAAAATTGGGACTTGGAAACATTGTGAGAAGATGAATTTGGGGGCTGAGGGGCCACCTTAGCTCCCGCTACTGCTGGCAAGGCTGTTGTGATCCACAGAGGTTAGGCTGCTTGGTGTTTTGAAATGCTACAAATACTATTCATCTGGGAAGGATGATTATTATTAAGGTTATTAATGTCAGAGGGAAGAAGAATAATGCATGGACCTGGATGAGACATAAAGGATGTGAGGTTTATAATAATAGCACTGAGATTTGACTCAGTGCCTCCCCTGTGTCTCTTTATGTATATGAGCCCAGGCTGCCTACCTACCCAAGAGGCCTACATGGAAGGTGGGTTTAGCACCCTTTGACAGAGGAAGAAACTGAGGCCCAGAGTGACATAAGATTTGCCTAAGGTCACACAGTGAATATGTAGCAAAGCTGGGGTTAGCCCTGAGGTCTATCATAATCTATGACCTGTAATCTTCCCATTGCTGTGCATTGTTGAGCACTCAGGAGACTGAGTTACTTCCAAGGTAGAGGGTAACTACTTGGAGGCCTGGCCCCTGAGGTAGGGAGTCCATGAAGGTGGGTACTTGTTTGTTAAACCCACTGGTAGGCCTGCCCTCTTGATTTCCAATGATTATTCACTAATACTCCCCCTCCTCCACCCCCCTCCAAACCTCTCTGTGTCTCTCCCATCCTTCTCTAACCAATGTGGCATCAGTTTAAGCCAGCTCAGGGGATTAAATAAAATCCCTACCTTAACCCTATCTTCTCTCCTTTTACCAGTCCTTCAGTGTTTGGGGCTGGGGGGTGGGGTTGCTGGAGGAGCAGGCAGGATGCAAGGGTGCAGGAGAGGGGCCTGGGTGCAGTCCTGCTGCCTGGAAGCCTGCTGGAAGAGGTGCCTCTGTGAGTTCGAGAAGAAACCACAGTGCTCTGAGAGTCCGAAGGCCTGGTCTCATCCTAAATCAGCCACTAAGAAGGCCAGATGACCTTAGGCCAGTCAGTTCCTTCTCTAGGTCTCTGTTTTCCCATCTGTGAAATGCAGGAATTGGTTTTGATGATGTCTAGAGTCCCTTCTTGCTGGCTTAGACGCTGAGGGTGAGACCACAGCCCCTGCTGCTCCTCCTCCAGGCACAAAGTCATCCCTTTTGGGGGAGCCTAGCTTCCTGCCCCTTGGACTGAGCCTTGGTGTCAGGCCCCCTGAGGACAGAGATCTAGGGCCAGGGTTAGGTGTGGATTGTAAGAGATTATTTTGTTAATCCAGAGATCCTGGACAGTGGAGGAGAGGAAGTCAGAGGGCAAGTTGCTAGATGGTCAGTAACACTTCCTGAGAGAGGCGGCCTCTCTGTTTTCCATTTACCACCCTGCCTCTCCTACCTATCCCTATTCTCCTTCATTGTGGGGTACAGCTGGTGAAGCTTCGTATAAAGCCTGGGGGCGGGGAGAAGGGCAGTCCTGGAAGGATTCCTGCCCTAATCAGCAGTAGAGAGAGAAAGAGCCATGCAGATTGTGACCTTCTAGCTTAATGGCATTGTTCCTGGTTATGGTATTTTAAACTCTATTTCATTATGTATGTTTTAATAAGTGACCTTAGTTTCTTTGTGTAATGAGGAGGAGAAGAAAGGAAGGAAAAACCAAACAAACAAACAAAAAAACAGAGAGAGCAGAAGGAAGGATCAGAAGCAGCTCCCTAGGCCTCGATCATCCACAGGACATAAGGCTTCCCCTCCTCCCAGGTTCAGTCTAGTGTCCTTCCGTAGGGCAAGTCAGGGGAGAGGGGATGAAGGCTGCCTTCCTAGTAACAAGATGATTTTATTCCAGATGATTTTATTCTTTGAGTTCTGCCTGCTTTTTATAATATTTCTATCTATATCTGTTTCTAAACTGCTGTCAGCTGGGAAAACAGAACAAATGTGTTAGCACTGTGTGCAGAGTACGAGTCAATGGCTATGAGAAGAGCCTATACTCTGTAACATAGGACTTTCTGGCCTCTTTTTTGCTGCTCAGAGGTCTTTGGTGTGACTTCCTGGTTTTTGTCTGTGATGTGACCAGAGATGGGGCTTCTAGGTAAGAAAGGTGGTGACATAGTGACTGGGCTTTCTTGTGCCCAGGTGTGCCTTGCTAGGTTTGATGCCTCTGAGCTCAGTGCTTTTCCAGTTCATGAGGCTAGTTTAGTGGGTTCGCTGTCCAGGAATGAAGTACCCTGAGCAGCAGGAATGCCTGCTGCGTTCAGGACTAAGCAGAAGGAATGCGGCATGGAGGGGACCCTGGTCGCTAGCAGTCCCTTGAAGCTGTCCAGTTCAGGTCCACAAGCGCATGTCCACCACGCCCAGTCCCTCCTTCTACACTCAGCCTTCTTTCTCCTGCCCCTGTCCTGGCAGAGCTCAGCGTGCTGCTGGGAGCCCCTGGCCCCTGCTCAGTGTAATGGGACTGAGGATGGTGTTGCTCTGCCAGGCCACTAATAACAGTTAATTGTTTGACAAAGATCACGTGTCTCTGGGGCCCCTAGAGAGTGGCTCATAGGAGAACAGAATGTCTGAGCGGTCAAATCATCCAACCCTCTCCCTTGACAGATGAAGGACTGAGGCCCAGGGAGCAGACTTGGGATTTGCCTAAAGTCACTCAGCAAGTTTGAGGTTGAAGGGTCTGGAACCAGAGTCCTCCTGACTGCTGGTCAGTGCTCCCTCCCCCTGGCTGCCCTGTGGGGAGACTTCAGGCGGCCCAGTCAGGGACAGGTATTTGTTCCTCTCTTCAGGGACCCCACTGTACGAACACAGCCTGCACTGCTGGGGTCTGGCTTTCCCTCTGCTGGGCAGCCTCTTCCCTTGGAGACAAATGTTAGGGTTCAAAGTATGTGGGAGCTCTGGCTATCCCCAGGATCAGGATGGGAAAGGAAGGATTGCAAGACCCCTCTACCTCCAAATCCTTGATCTAGAATCTAGCCTACGAAGGAGGTGCCTGGGTTCCCCACCTCGACACCCCCCTTTCCAACATCTCTTTACTGGGAGAAGAGAGGTGAGAGCCAGCATGTCAGAGCCTCCCCAACGCCCAGGCCCTGGGGTGGAGGAGCTCCACCTTCCCTGGTCAGGCACTCCTCACACCTCCTCCTTCCTGTCAGTCCTCCCAGCTAGCTGGCCTTCTCACGCAGGTGCAGGCTAACATGCACGTTCGCTTAGCCAGCCCTCGGAGCTCCCACTCTGGGCCGGGCCCTTGTAGGCATCAGGGTGACAGAATGTGTAAGCCGTTGCCCCTGCCATCCAGGGCCTTTGAGGAGATGGATATGGACGGAGATGTGTCAAAGTCCTGAGTTAGGAGTCTCGAGGTCCAGAGGATACAAGCTAAGAGAGGTCTGTCTTGCCTGCGTACTGTAAGAGCTCAATAAATGCAGGCCCTTTCCTTCCTTCCTGTCTCTCCTAGGCCATGAACACTCTCCAGGAGAGCTCTGGTGTGTTTTTTGAGGGTGCTCACAGACCTGTGTCCTCTTGCCTGGGGGCTTTGCCACCTTGGCCCCTGTGGCAGCGCCTAGAGGCATGTGGGAAGGATTGTGAGGCGCCCCAGTTGGCTGGCCCTGTGGAGTCAGCATGACATGAGCTTGGCCGTCTGGGAGGGTGGACGCTGGCTGGACCAGCGGCCTGGCAGCATCAGGCCCGGCGGCGCAGCGATGGGGTGAGTTTTTCCATTTCTCCCCCGGGTTGGCTAGTCTGGAGCAGACATGGCCTCAGCTGCCGGTGGCTCCTGGCACCGGGCGGCTCAGATTCTGATTTGGATACGCCAGCCGCAGAGCTGGTCTGGGGTCCAT